TTCTTCGTTCAGGGCTTCCATGCCACCGGTGGTTGTCTTGCGCTCGAAACCATCCAGACCACATAAGCCGTGCACGAGCGGTGACCATTCGGCCCACTGGGGAAACCGGGGCGGTTTGGGTACGCTGGCGTTACCCACGTACGTAAGACGCTTACCTACCATTCTGCCATCCTCGTGCCTCAAAATGTAAGGATGACCACATGCTCCAGCACTGGTGACATCGCAGTGTTCGATGAGTAGCAAGGTACCCAAGGAAGACAAAAGGATCCTGCAACGAAATAACATTCCACCCCTCCCACTTGGGAAGGGTAAAGACAAACGTTCGCTTGTATGGATCGGCACGTTGCGTGTCTAGATCGAACGAGAAATTCTGCGGCTGCTGTTGCTGTTGCTGTTGCTGTTGGCTGTGCTGGAAATGCCATCCAGTCTGTTCTGATTTTGGAAAACACTAACTCGATAAAGACTTAGGTATTGATACCAATAAGGAAAATAAATACAACGATTATACTCACGTCTGGTTTTCCTGCAATGATGTGGAAAGTCGATTTTCTCTTCTCTCTCGCAAATACGAGGGTAACGTCGCGATCGTTTTTGGACAATCGCACGTCACGAACGAGATCCAGGCGTATCATCAGTTCCAATAGGCGATACACCGCCTCAAGATGCAACCGAGCCGTGTCAAGGGTGATGGCCATGAGTAACACGAACATGTCTTCTCTTGCATAACACATGGTCAAGGCGATAGCCAGATCCACGGCAACAGACTTACCGCTCCGTCTCGGTAGTACTATGACAGCCATCTTTCGGCCCAGAGTCTCTAAGATGTGATTCATCCTGTCAGCGACTCTGGGGTCGGGAAATCTGGGATCGTACGTTGTCATCTCGGGCGTGGCCAAATGCAATAGTTGCAAGACCTCGTGGATGTAACGGTTGGTTTCACTGCCGATGAGTCGCTTGAACATACCCAGGAGGTAACTCTGGAGGTATTGCCACTGGAACGGTTCCAGACGCCACCCCTGGGCACCTAACAAAGTCCACAGGGCAGAAATGGCATCGCGAACGAGGTTCATGTGCATCCTCCCTTCGCTGTCTCCTCTGTGAACCGGGTCTAGCGTAGCCCTCGCCACGGTCACCCCTCGTTCAAAAAAGGCAGTCCACGAACTCGTCGTAGGTGTGGATGACAAGCGCTTCTTTGCGCTGTCGTTCTTCTGACACCACTTGAGCAATGGAAGATTCGACCAATCGAGCAAACCGGTTGCCCAGGGCCGATAAGCGACGGATTGTGCCATTGGGTTGATCTCGGCAGCGGAACGTCCCGAGCCGGTCCGTCGTCCCATAATCGACAAAGGTTCTACGATGTCGCAAGACGCGGTCCCTATTCACGGCTGCATCGCATCGTCCAAATAAGCAATTCAAGATGGCGGCTCTCGTCGCCACTGAATCCATAACTTTCAGCAGTGGGTGGCAGGTATTTCTCGATCCTTCTTATCGTGTCTTGGTAGTGGAACGTTCACAGTGTAAATGGATCCCCTTGCGTTTCATCGACTTTCATAAGTGGGTACCTATCTGGAACGGGCAAGAAATGAGTGCCTGTCGTCTACTGGACATTGTCGAAGAACGCGAGGAGCGCAATTCGTGGCCCGTGGTGGATACGTTTGCCGTTGATGCCGCCACCACCATGGGACTCTTGCCCGACGAGAGCGTGGATCGAGTTCAGTTGTTTTATCGCTGGAGTCTACCACCGGACTTACCAGAATACGAATGCCATGCCTCCCACGATCCGACCAATTTGTTACCAATGGCATTCCAATGGAAACCGGCGATTCTTTACGGGACAATCGACGTGGCCGTTTCGATAAGTGGTTTGCATGTACTCGACATACCGGGCGTGGAAATCATGGAAGGCGTTCAAATGTCGCAGGGGGTACGAAAAGCTCTCTCTCGAGGCCCGGAAATGAGACCATGTTTTTGCTGGCGCGACGTAGCGCGTAAGGTGTTGATCAACGGCGGCGACCCACGAGGCACATTGACCATGCGAATCGAGGTGGAAGACGACGAGATGCGATGCGAGGGAATTCAGTGCACCTCTTTTCTGGAACTTCAAGCTAGACTTTTGATGAACGCAAGGTCCTCGACCAGCAAGAGTGACAGACACGCCGTCATTATTGGTCACTCGGACAAATACGTGATCCAGACACTTCGCAGAATACTAGCTACCATTGGAGCTCAGAGTCGCAAGACTTCGTACATCCAGAACACGGGAGAGCACTGCGGACGCGAGTTTTACAAGCTCTTTTGGTATCCCGAGCTGGAAGATTACATAGACCCTAGAAAAGATCACGGTCCGACGTTCACAGCCTTCCGTCCCGTGCGCATGCCTGCGTCGCCACCGTATTGCGTGGTACAGTTTGCCGACAAGGGTACATTTCTCGTGGATGGTGTGCGTTATTTACCGTATGCTGAAAGCCAACCCAAATTGACGGGACGCCCGTGGTCACACTCTATTGGGGTGAGAAGACGAAGGTATGTTCGATGAAGAGGTTGCCATTGCTCGTTTTCTTCTCTGTTCCAATGCGATCGTCTTCATTGTGGAGACGGCATTTGCCAACAGGATTCGACCTTATGTGTCTCACGAAACGATGTACCTGTGTATATTTTATTACCTCGTGGCGAAAGTTGCCTCGTCCAGGAGACAGTTGCCTCCATCCTCCCGCTCCGTTTGGGCTTGCTTAACCAGAACGGCTCTTTGCTCCATTCCCCTGACCTCGTTACTGTCCCTGTTGTACAACTTTCGTCACTCGATCGTGGACTGTATCGTGCACGATACGCTTGGGGATGCTCAGTCCTGCAGATTTGGAGGAAATCGCTTGCGCTGCGAGTCATTTCTTTTGGCCTCAAAGAGACAGACCGTGCAAGAGGGATGTGCATCGTTCGTCTTGGGACCTTTCATGGCAACTCTGTATGCGATCCTGGTATTTGTCCTTCGGTTCGTCCCGTGCTTTTTCGGAGGCGTGTACTTTGCTTTCACTTTCACCGAAGACCGGCTTTACCCGCAAGGATCATCCCTCAAGGCTCCAACCGACCGCCATCAAGACCGCGCCTTACCTTCAACTACTTTCTATCTAGCTTTGGCGTTACTGCTTTGGGGAGTCTTTTCTTTGGAAATTTCCGCCGGGAAGCACGCGGAAATATGCACTTACACGACTCTGGTCTTCTACGGAGCTTTATTCATCATCCAAGTCTCTCGGTCGCAAGAAGTGAACCGGGTTCTCCAGGAGCTACAATTTGTGGGTTCGATCTTACTGGTGTTCTTCGTGTACATGGACTTTACCCGAAATACAATCGTGCTAGCCTCGACGTGCGCAGAATTGGTGGACTACAAAGTGTTGTCCGAATGCCAACCCGGAGACAAGGTGTGTCTGGATACTCGAAACGCCTTGTCTACCACCTTTTTCAGTCAATACGACTGCCCCCAAATAAGCGCAGACTCTACCAGACACGTGTATTTTTATTTAGGTCAGATTCTGAGATTGATAGTGTTGGCCATCGTCTACCCGATCGCCTTGATCTATCAACACGTCCAACCAGACCGCAGTAGCGGTTATGGTTCCGGGAGCGGGGGCTTTCTGAAAGAAACCATTGACAAGACACCCGCAGAAGAACTGAAACGCATTCTATATCAGGCCGTTGAATTAGACTTTGAACAACAACGACATTAACAAGATCTGGGGTAGCAGCGAAAGTTTGCACACACCACGGATGGCAGTAAGGACCAAGTATCTACCAGCGAACGTTGGCGTGTTTGCAGAATGTCGCCTATCAGACAATCGACGGGCAAGTGTGTTTCTCGACCTGGTCAATACTGTGTGCACCACTTCATGGCCAATGGGTAGCGAGGAAACTTGTCTTGAACGCGGGAACTCTGTACACACTGAATCGCAAGGAAGTTTCATCAAGCTTATGTTTGTCTGTTTTGATGGTCGCGACAAATGTTCGTTGTTGCCGTTCGACGTATCGTCGTCCGTCAACATCACTACAGTGACCAACGAAAACACGCGAGAGTTGCTTGCTTCGGGGTACGACGTGCTCCAACATATCGGCTTCGGTAAGAAGGGTGGACGATGTAACGGATTTGTCAATAAAAACTGCAACTTTTCTGCTGTCTTGCACGGCGTGTTAAATCGCGAGGAATACATTGAGCGACTGTTGACCATTCGAGGACTGAGATTCTCTCGAAATGCCTACTTTCCTCCCGTCAAGTATTCGTTTACCACGGAGACGGGACAGGTCGTACAGGTGCAGATCTACCCGACTTCCCTTGCTGTCAACTTGCAAAATCTCACCAAGGAAACGGTCACCCGGTACGGCTCGTTCATCCTGCAACAGATCGCATGTGAGGCCGACATCGACACCAGTCTCATGCGATTTTGCGTCGACGCCGAGTGGCGATTGGACCGCACTCTCTCACCTTACGAAAAGCTTCAACTGGTCATTGGCTACTACTCGTTCCGGTGGCTAGAGGCCACGGTTGACACGTATGACATCGTCGCGGAAATGCATGATTTTCTACTGAAGGGACTGTCGCTGTTCACTCTGGATCACGGCCGTTACTGGTATTCATTCGAAAGGAAGAAACGCAAAAATATGGAAATATACGATCTCTTTATCGAGGACACCCCCTTGCGTCACTGTCCCCACGCGGGTGGTTTCAGAGCTTTCGTGTTAACGTTTCTTTCTTCTAGGGGACACGCGTTTGCGGCGCAAAAAATTAGCGAGGCGTTTCCGGTCGACATGGACTCGGCGACTGAGACAGACCCAAATGATCCTTGTTCTGCGCGACTCTGGTACGAGACGCACGTGGTCGATCGTCACTGTCTGTTCTCTAGACAATAAAGTGGTATCTAGTTTTACTTTTTATTTGTTCTCGGAAAAAGTGCGTCGTAAGCCTTGGCCGTTTCTATGTAGGAATGGACACGGCTCGGATGAGGAACTCTCATGCCCTTATTGCGCCCCCTTTTTAACTCCACGCACAAGGTCAAGGGAGCTTGGCGCATGACGCCCTGAAGGGTTCGTTCGACGTCCTTCATTGGGTCGCGAAACTGGTGAGCGCATTCATCGTGGTCTTCCTCGTAATGACGCCGCACCTCGTCGTCTGTCACGTCTGTCAAAAAGGCCAAATTGGGGTGGTCCCTACCCGCGGCGCGAAACTTTTTACCGTACGCGCTAACGAGTGACGAGCGGGACATTAGCTTGACCTGGTGAAATTTGCGAGTCAGTTCATTTAACAGCGTTGCATCCAGCACGGTTGCGTCCCGGTTCCCATCTGGACTCCATCTCGCAGCGCCGGTATCTCTCGTGTACAGTCTACACAGGCTGCATTTGACGTTCGGATCGAATCCGGGTAAAGGGCAACCAGATTGCTCGGCGTCGACATCGTCGTCGTGATCTCCAGTGAGGTCGATGGCGTCAGACACTAATTCACGCACGCTGTGCTCTGTCATAACTCTAAGACAAACAGTGCGATCTAAGTGTGGTTAATCGGAAGTCATGGATACCGCAGTCTGGGTTTTCGACATCGGGCGATTGGTGCTCATCTTTGCCATCATTACACAGGGCATCATTTTTTCAGCTCACGTTGCCAATGAACACAGGGATCCCCATTATTACGCCAGTGCACTCATCACTCTGCCATCTTTGATTATGAGTTGGTGGTACTTCGCCAGACCACCATCGCAACGCGTCGATCGACCCACTTTGGTCTGGTTAGTCTACTCCTTGACGGTGGTGGCATTTCAAGGCCTATCATTCGGAGCAACGGATATCTCGACTCATGACTCTACGTTGTTGTACGTAGCCAACGGCGTTACGCCACTTCTATTCTTGCTTTGCATTGTCACTGGTTGCGAACGATGCATTCAAGATGCAGCGTTTGTAATGGCATCCGGGATGGCAATTTTCAACGCTTTTGATACAACTGATGCCATTTTTTCCGTATCACGGAATGAACGGAATATCCCGGGGAGCTTTCGCGGCGGTTTCGTTGCCATGGCTTGTGTATTACTGGTGTGGTCGGCATTCGAGTTCACCGTTCGGACGCAGTTGGCCGACAACGGCTTCGTGCCAAAGATTATCGTCTGTGGTCTGCACGTCATCCATATGACACTCAATGCCATCTTGATGGGAATGCGCATCTTTTTGTATACCAATGGAATGGTTGAGTTCTCAACAATGATCGCCAAGAACGCCATGGTCTTTATCGTGCGATTGGTGTACATGCTTTCGGTCATCGGATGCCGATCGCAACCGTTGCAGCAACCCAGTCATCCCGCCGAACCGTCGGCGCCGCCAATCTCGAACAACGATATAGATCCTTTTGTGAGACCGCCAACGCCGCTTCCCACGCGGTCTATATTACGCGATGAGAGAAAAACCAATCTCGGTCCAGATGGCGCCCGCCTTTATCCCTCTTTTCCTAGGCAGGTGCACTTTAAAGGTGAAGGTCAATAAAGCGACACGATCTAAGACACCACTTGGGTTTTTTTATTCTCTTCATAATATATATACGTATAATTAAATATTATATATATATTATATATATATATATATATTATATATATATATATATAGAATGTTAATTGAGATAAAGGTGTGATATATTCGAATACATGAGTAAAGAGTTGACGTCTGTCCTTCAAAACCAAGGTTTAAGGAGCGAGATGTAAGCGTGGTCTCTTAAGCGTGGCTTCGTTCTATAACAAATTGTCAAAGGCTTGGCAAATGTGTATGCCCACCTCATTCTCCAGCTGAAGTTACTGGTAATGACCTTCTCGGTAAGGTTTCTAGGAGAATGCGGAAATATATTTTCCTGTATGTAGTTGGAACAATGGAAGCGATCCATATGACTCAAGGTTGCTAGATTCAGTGCAAAGTTGTCTATTGTACCTACTATTGGAAAGGCAACGCACCAGTTCGGTCCATCGATATCTGGTTTCAGCGAAAGGATGTTTGCTCCAACAGCGATATCGCTCTGCGACACGTTGATGAAAATCGTGCCTGCTGGTCTAGCAGGGAGGTGCGGAAACGCCAAAAGTTTTCCGTCTTCGGAAACCATCATCCGGACGCGAAATGTAACCATTGCATAAAAGACATCGTCCGGACTGTAGGCCTGAGAATGAGCCAATAATGGCTCCAAGGCTTTTGGATCGGCATCGCGAAAATCCACGGTCTGTGTTATTCTTTTGTCTGATGCGATGGGCAGGTGTAGCAATGCTCTGACGTAATCGCGATAGATGGATGGAAAAAAACGTTCAAACATGTATTTTTCATCCACCTTTTCCAGCTGTAGCTTGGCAGCTTCGATCACGGTCCTCTTCCAACCCACAAAAGATGCATTCTTCGGCAGATCCGGAAAAAGGGCATGTAAAGGCACCCAGGTATAGCTCGTGGAATCTTTGGTTATGTCGAATCGACGGCGAGGCGCAGTTCGAGAAGCAACGACGACGAATGCAAAAATCGATAGGGCCTTTCTTCCGTCATAAGTGTCAAGTCGCCAGGACACCTGACTGTCGTCCCATTCGCTCGAAGAGATCCATCCAAGGTCGAAAGCGATTCTCTCTATATCGTTTTCCTTAACCAGGCTGTCGACCCCACACGGTATCTCTTGACGTTTTCCACCCTTACCATGTCGAATTTCAAACCAGTAACGCTTGTTTTTGCATGCCTCCAACTTTAACGTTTCGAGCGCGGTCAAACCCCTTACATTCCGACTGAGGTAGTCGTAGAGGGTCTCGAGTCCACCGCCGCCCGTAAGCTTACACCAAAACTGGGATAAGGGAATCCGAGACTCGTACGTTATAGACATTTTACGAAATAATGAAGAGACGAATCGATAACAAGAAGAAACCAGAAAACGTTAATGTCCTTTTTTACCCGACACTGTTAAATAACGATGAACGCCTTTCCAGTCTACCCGGACGATCGTCTTGTCCGCTTGCGCCTGCTTCAGCGGTACATGTCGGCGGGAATCATGTCTCTCGTGATTTCTAGAGGGGGATTTATAGTATCCCTCTTGCTACTGGCAACGGGTGGTGCCTTCATCGTGGTCGGACGCTTCTTTTTTTGGGAGCGCCATCAGTTATACGGCTGTCGAGTCGATTATGCAACGTCCATCACGTCTCGTATCTGCTCTACCGATTGGCAGCGGCACGCTCGTGGTTCCCTCGATTCATCCACCATGACCTGTCTGGTCAGCGGAACAATTGCGTTGTTCGTGGCTGTGGCGTATCCTTACGCTCTACTCGCGATCAAGGGCAACCGCGAAGAAACCGAAGAAATACGTTCCATTGTTCATCTGCTGCATCACTCGATGGACAACGCCAGGGATCACTCTCGCGGTGTTTGGGAGCGTGACGTCCTGCGCTTAACCGGGTTGGATAGTCCTCGTAGACCGTGGATCTACTTTCATCACCCGACTCTCCACCAACGTCTCGATCGGAGGCGGCACTTTCGACGGTTTGCGGCCTGCCTCTGGACGGAAGTCTTTGCTCGGGTCACTCTTCGAGAATATCCTTTCCCCGTCATCGTTGCCTTCTTGGTCTTGGCCAGTACAGCGCTCACCCCTTCGCTGATGATGCAGGCATCGCCCCTCGTTCGCATCTGTAGCGTCTTTGTATCTCTCCTTGCTTACGTAGCAATCCTCGTCGTATCCCTCGCAGCTTTTGCCGTCATCCTAATCATAGAGCCAACCGCTTGGACGGGTTGTCTCTTCTTCTGGGTTGCATATATTCTCGTCCATCTCATCTGTTATGCCGTGCACAGATGCGCGTCTCGTGTCCCCATGATACTGAACGAACGAAGATTTCATGGTGACGTTCCATTCTCAGTAGTTCAACAAGTATTTGATCGAGTATTTTAAAGCGTGTATAAAGCAACGCAAATTATTTAGTTGCATAGGATCTTGTCTGTTGACTTCTAAAAAAAATGGCAGAGGCCCAAGCTTGTCAGAGCAATGGCGGTGGTGGAGGTGATACGGAACAACGCAATGCAAGCGAAGAAAATACATCCCTTTTTCACTTGCTGGTAGACATAGTGACGCTACGCCACGAGATGGAGCAAAAGCTCATGCGGATGTACCAGAATGAATGTGAAAGACGATCACAAAGAAGACAATGCGAGAAGAGAGGAAAGCATCACTATCTTGAGGTTGCAGCCGCAATAGCTCCAGAACTCGCAGCCATCAACGAAACGATAAAGAGGACTGGTGCGGGGAGTAATCAAGTCGAACATCAATAAGACTCTGTTTGCCTTAGATAAAGGTTCACTAACGTCGTGTGTCGAAACTAGACCAACAAATAAAACCAACCTTAATCAGGTGAGATTTGCAAACAAGCTTTTTTGCACATGTCTGGTTGTCAAGACAGTCCGTGCGCGTGGCGCAGAGCGAACGGTACCCTTTGAGATATACTCAACCGACCTCATAACTAAAAGAACAACAAACAAACAGTTTCTGTTTGACTCTTTTATTTCGCATTACAACCGATATCGTTACAGCTGATCTCGTTGCAACGAGTTACAGTAACTTCGCCCTGGCAGCTTAATTTAGGCACATCCTTTGCTAGCACTATTCCCTCACCGATTCCTCGAGGAAACTCTACGGGCGTCTTACATTCCGAGAAGGTCTCGTTTGCCAGACGACACTGAAGAAAGGGCGCTCCTTCGGTACAACGATCGGTACACAGGCATTCTCCGTGCTTCAGTGGTCGTTGGACGGGCAGGGCTCGTAACCACTTGTCAGCGAGGAAATAACGATAGCCAAGGGCAAACAGAGACTGTTCCGGGGTTTCCAGGGTCTTGATCTGCTCACCGGCAGCACACGGTGTAGATCCTTTCTTGCAAACGGTGGCCTTCCATGCACTGCCAGAAACGCTTCCGGAGAGGGTACAGAGACCATGTCGCATCATCGCTACGTCGAAGTGTTTAAAAACGCGAAAGCCGTGCGAGCCACAAGCGCATTGCGACGGGGTGCAAGGCCTCAGACAAACGCAAACTGGAGCCTCTGACAATGGACGAGGTGCCGCGATCTGGCAACTGTGTCCAGAGCTGTTCCAACAAGTCCAGTTCATGCCATTTACCGTGGCTATCGTGGAAGTCTTCCGATCTTCTTCCCCAACGAGGAGTATTTCTCCACGCAGATCCGCCGTTCTTTCCAAATAAGCAGAAGGGATGCATTGCACTAGCTTACGAGACCACTTGGGTAATAGACACAAGATCACAGGAAATTCGCTCAAACAATGACGTACACATACACAGCTGTTCAGTCGCAACGCCGACATTGCCAAGCCCGTGGGTTGGTAGAACATGTTGGAACTGGGACGCAGGAATCGATACCCCTGAGCCAACGCCAACGCTCCGTACCCAGAGAACTTTTTCTGTTGCCAGTTCGAGGGACACTGAACCTCATTTCCGTCTTCTCTCATTTTGCAGGGCACAACTGGAAACAGTCCGGTAATCGGATACGCGGCTCGCAAGTCGATGTTACCATTTTGCAGATCAATGGTTTTGGTCATCGCTCCTTGACGGGGGATACACGGGCAACTGGTCGCGTTGCAAGACAGGGGCGACTGGCAGAAACAATTGCTCATCGTTTCAACGTCCATTTCTTCACGGTACGACTGGCAAGCTTCGTCCACTGCCGAATTGTTCGAAGGCGGTTCGGGCGGACAAGCACACGACAAGTTCCCATTCCTGTCCAAGATGCCATAATCTTGACCGCACTGGATGCGGCAAAGCTCAGAGCCCACACGCGCCATCGGGGCATAGTGGCCATCCTTGTCCAGCCCCACGGGTACGCACCAAGGCTTGTCTCCTTTGGACTTAAGGAATCGTCGAGTGCACCCACCTCCCAATAGCGAACAGCCATGGTCCAACCACGTGTCCGATCCGTTGGCGGGTCCAGAGTCGTTAGAACATTGTCTTAGGTCCACGGCAGTATGATTCACGGGACAAAGCGTCTTGCCGCATTCGACGTACAAGATGAGACCCGAATGTCCGAGACAGCCGTAAGAATTCGTGCAAGAATCGCGGTAGTAAACGCCCAACCCGGCAGTCACCACGGACAAAGCAAAAAGCATGAACATGACGGATTCAAGCAAATGTCGCAAGTTCACGAGATGCAACGTGAACGACGTCTTCTAGATCCAAGTCTTTTGGAAAAAAATCCTGATTTGATGTATTTGCGGATCTGCTCTATCTTCATGCTGTCGGTTTTGCCGCCCAACTCTCATCCATTCCCAACAAGGCCTTTGCCTCCGCCGAACGTTCGCTTGGAGACAGGTGTCTAAAACGATCGAAGAAGTGTTTGCGATGCAACGGATGCTCTTTGTTATTAAGGGGCAATAAGGGAACATTGAGAAGGTAAATGGCGTCTTCGGGTGCCAACTTGATATCGTGCGTTTTTGCAAATCTCGGATGGTTCTCAGTACGGCAAGTCGCCTATTCCGATTCTTGGTCTGTTGGTTGTTGGTAAGATAAGACGCTACGATATCGGTGTGCTCGCGCAACACGTGCAAAGCCTCCACGTGTGATTTCAGGCTCTTTCCAAAAGACATAGAGAACATAGAGTGTTGACATGGAAAAATTACAGAGTTAATGAGAAGTACCAAGAGGTCCCTAGCGCGATCGGCGAGAAATCTAATGGCGACCGTGATCAGAACCTGTTCCGATACCTCGCGTATGCATCTGGTGGTGGCTCAAGGGGACGACGTGTACGATGCACTCTGTACCTTGGAGCAGCACGACTCCACGAGTTCAAAAAGGGCTATGCACATCCAACAGACCCTTGACTACGACGTACCCGTTCGTGTACGTGAGCTCGGAGATTATTCGGTTGCGCTGGTGGTCGTCGAATGGCCCCTGCAATCGTCGGAGAAAATTACGCCGCAGGCGACGCTTCGATCCCTGTTGGAACTGGCCGCACGAGAAGAGAGGTGGGTGGATGGCATCACTCTGGTTGCCGACGAATGGCTCATTTTCGAAGATCTCGGTTTTAACGCATGTTTCGTCGAGACTTTTCAAGAACTGCAACGGTTGGGCTACGATCCGTGTGCCATCGTTCAGCGATGCAAAGATCACGAGACTCGACGGTTGGGTCGGTTGCCCTTTGACGCGAACTATTTAACGGAACCATTTTTCACACGTCTGAATTTGCACCGACTGTTGGCAAAAAGAATCGATTCTCTGCAAAAATGAAACGAGCGTGGCAAGAGGATCCGGTTTATGCGGCCGAGATCGAATCAGCCATGAAGGTGGCGGCCGTGATGTTCGATTCGGATGAAGACGTTGACGATTGGGAGAGCAATTTTCCTTCGGACATGGAGGCGGATTGCGTTCTCGAGAAAGGGTGCGATGGCGACGACGACAACGACAACGACGACGACGAAGAAGAAGATGAGGAGAAAGAGAAAGACGATGACGAGGAATTGGACGCGGACTATGTAAAGAAGAACTTTGATCGATTGTACGTACAAAAGGTGGTTGGTTGGATAGAGGATGGAAAGAATGTGTTTATCACCGGGTCACCGGGTCGAGGCAAATCGACCTGCGTGGGTAAGGTGATAAAAGAATTGTACGGAAAGGGCGTGAGGCTCGTGGCTACCGGGTCCACCGGTGTGGCAGCAGTCAACATCGGATACGATGCTCTGGAGGAACTGTTAAATGCTGTTAATCGAGAGTTGTTGTCGGGCGAGATGGAAAGGATTCTTTCTCCGACCACGGTTCACAGTGCCTTTGGTTTGAGGAAAATGGAGTGTGGCTGGCTCAACGAGCATAGGCAAAATGAACAAGGGATCGAATCGTTCATGAGGCTATACGTGAAGCACCACAGCCGTTTTCGTAGTTCGTTTCTCAAAAGCCAGCGGTCACTGTCGTGTGCAAATGTTCCGAAAATTGCACACGCCAGCCTGGTTATTTTGGACGAGGTTTCTATGACCGACGGACTGTTGGTTGAAGCGCTGGACGCGGTAGGCAGATTTTGGCACCCCGAAACCGATCGCCCATTTGGTGGTATCGGGATGGTGTTTGTCGGTGATTTTCAACAATTGCCGCCCGTGAATAGTGGTACGCGAAAGAACCCCAACTTCCTGTTCGACAAGAAGAAATGGACTACCCCGACCTCTAAAGGTGGATGGATCGATCACGTGCTGCAGCTCAAGGTCAATATCCGTCAAGAGGGAGATTTGGAGTATGGAAAGCTTATAGATCGAATGGCAATGAATGCACTGTTGGATGAAGATATCGAGTTGCTCCAGGCATGCGTAATGAGAGCGAACAGTTGCAACAGGGGCCTCTCTTTGGCCATGAATCCCTACATCATGCCTTTTGTTCCACGTATCTTTACCAATAAGGACCACATAGCTCAATATACACGAAGGGTGTTAGAAGAAGTCGGCGAAGAGACCAAGACCACTCTGTCTGCGCGAGAGGAGTACGAACCCAGCAAGGATAAAATTTGTCTCGCTTACGGCAAAAATAAGGTACAAGGGAAGATTGATCAGTTCATCTCCAAATTGACAGAAGATTGCGATGCCGAATTGTTCATTGGTTGCCCCGTTCGATTTTTGGAAAACAAGAGCCTAGAGGAAGGAGTGGTGAATGGTGCCATTGCTAAGTTAGTGGGGGTCGCAGAAAAGGGTGGACATCCCATCTTTGAATTGAAAAGTGGAAACCAGTACACGCTACCACGATCGAGTTCGACGATCTACCTCGATGATTACACTCCCCGACAACGTCGCGAGATTGACGTAGGGCGTATGCGACCGTTACCTGGAAGACCAGTGGCAAAGTTGACGTATAAGCATTATAGAGTCAAGATGGCATTAGCCATGACACCGTATGCCGTCCAAGGTTGTACCCTAGACACTGCCATCGTCCACCCCAACGTGGACTTCAAAAACGAATATACGACGATCGAAGCCCTTTTGGTATCACTGAGTCGACTCCGCTCCAGTGGCATTCACAGTCCCGGTCGAAAGGAAACGATACGCGCCATCCCAAAACCGACGCTGAGTTTGAATACTTCCGACGACGGTACACCGCAACCGCGCGGATTGTATTTGACGCGATTCGTTCCTTTTGACTACTACGTGAATCCAAAAGTCAGAAGCTACTTAGACAATATCAAAGAGCGGCATTCACTACTCCAAAACCACGGAAAGGATGAACCCGAGGGGGACGTACGGTTACGTTGAGTTCAAAGATGGTCTGGCCATCAAAAGGCCGCACAAAGACATGGACCCGTTTGCCAACAGAGAATTTATTGCTTACAAGCGCATGAAACCTATACTGGACAAACTGTCGGTCGCTCGGTTGTACGAGGTGGGTGTATTGAGATGTTCGGAACAGTTGTCTTTTGTAGACGCGTTGTTTTTCGAGGACGTCGGTACCGACGTCGAACAGTGGTTTTTGTCGCAGTGGCTTTTCGACCCAGTGGAGGTATTGCTGCGACCTCTGCTCTCTACCTTGGAGTACCTGGAAAATATCGGTGTTTTGCACCTCGATGTTCACCCCCGTAACGTATGCGTGCGTCTCGATGGACGCGGACAACTGACGGCCAAACTGATCGATTTTGGCAGGAGCGTCGTGCTAAGAGACGATAACGAATGGGGCTGCCATCCAAAGTATACAGGATATCTGGTAGATCCTCTGACGGGAGTGTTCTCGAATCAAGATCATTTGCCCAAACCAGCCGCGAAAGAAGCCACGATGGAAGAACTTTACAATCTTTCTTTTTGTCGCGATCCCATGGCTCTTGTCGCCCTGGTGGTAAAAGGGCAACAAGAATTTCCATCTGGGTTGACGTTGGGTCCCGCTGACGATGTGTACGCTCTGGGGATGTGTGTCGTTCGTTCGTTGACCATGTTCCTGCACGTGCCCTGGGGAGAGTGGAAAGCGTTACACCAAGTCGAATCCGATGCAGAGTTTAGCGAAAAGTTGCGCGTACTCTGTGACATCGTTCGGCGAAACCCTGCGTGGGATTCTTCCTTTTTTTACGATTTACATCTGAGGATTAGACCAAATTCGTCGCGGCCACAGGACGTCAGCGACTTTGAAGCAAGGGCTCGCGCAGTAGAGATACGTCTTCATAGCGTGAGCACGTTATACCCCCATTTTTTTGATCGCCTCACGGAAGTGTACGACGACGCAACGAGTCAATTGATCAGCAAATGCGTCCATCCCGATCGGCATCGTCGGTACAAGAGAGGCTGGAAGAGCGAAAAGAAACGACAAAAATTCGTTCGGCGAGGGTCGGTCGACGTTCAAGTGGTCAGAGACAAGAGGGTCATTCACCTGTCTTTGGGGCGTTGCTGGATCATGACGGGAGTCGTGGAGTCGGGCACAGTGAAGTGGTGGACAGCAGCACGAGGGGCTATGATGAATGACAAAAGACGAGGAGCCGTTGCTTTGAAGCTGTTTATTGAAAAGTCTATCGAGCTGGAGCCTAGTCTAAAGGACAAACGCTACCGGGAATGGCCGTTCGATTTTGAGTTGCAGAAAGAAGCATGGCTCAGGACGTTGGCCCTGTACGGTCACAAAGAGAACCAGGAGCACCCTGAACGCGATACGGAGCCAGATCCTCTGCCTCAGGCGACCGGCACGAATGAACTAGCAAAAGGATGACACACACGACCAAAATTGCAACCAACGAAAAGGCGACAGCGACTAGGGTCGTGGAATTGGGACTGCAGGATGGTGAAGGCGAACGGCAATTTGCAGGCGTCGGGAGAGCGTCGTCGCTCGCGCGACGCAATCTCATCAGAACGCGATTATCCAGATATTGCCAGAGGTCGGTGGCGATGGTCGTAGTACCAACGCTGGGACGGTCCAAGCCGGCGACTGGATCTCGCAAGACGACAGCTGACACCTCGTGAAGGTCTTTAAGTATCAAGCGACCTGCTACCAGAAGAGCCACGAATCTCGTCCCTTTGACGTTGGCTCGCAGTCCAGTGAATGTGGGACCGTTCAGTCGTAGCGTCTCGCCCCAACTCGGCGGTGATAAAAGCACGGCGACGGAAGCAGGATTGGTTGCAAAGGTCAAGTTCTGCAAGGAGGTCTCAGCATCGAGATGCGATGATCGCGGTCTCAGTACGACGGCAGCGGTGCGATCTGCCGTAGGCACATACGTGACCGATGCCGTCGCATTGATGCATTCACCGTTGTCGAAAGTGATATCCCTGATGAGGAGCCCTTCCGCAGACGAGACGATTAGCGCGCAGTACGTGGGCCCCTGCGGGTCTACCAACACGAAGTCGCGAGTCTTTTGTAGCACGAGTCCTTCGATGCACATGGGACGGAGCAGTACTCGACGCGTCGAAAGTCGCAGTGCACGGGAAACGGTGGCTTTCAGATTGCTCTCGGGGCACGCGATGGGATTTCGATCGGGAACCCGTGTGACGATCTCGTCATCTGGGGCTATCCACAGAGTGACGGAGGTGCTAGGATCTAGGGTTAGCGTATCGCCGGCATGTCCGGCGCACGAGTCTGCCTCGCATTTAAGCGTTTGTGGTTGCACGCCTATTGCTGCAGAAATGATTTGCAATGTAAAAAGTAGGTCGGCGACCGACATGACTTGAATTATATATGTGTGTATGTATGTATGACAATAAAATCATAGCATGTCTGAAGAGTCTTGTTTCTTAATGTGTAGCCGCCTCGAGATTTGGAATAAAAGAAATCCTTGTTTTCTTAGTACACAGTTTTATTCATCGATACCATGTTTAGAATAGAATGACATGTACATGCAATTGCTAGTTTATTTCTTGTGACTGACTCTTTAGCTGCTACAGGCTCTCATGTGATCGTCGAGTAAATGGCTGGGAAACATCCTTTCGCAAGTGGGGCACTGCAGTTCGTTGGACGCTTGCACTCTCGGCCTCGAGAGGGGTGCTTGGACAGATTTGCGACATTCTGCTCGAGGTCTGAAGGCACCTACTCCAGTCGTGGCCGACGAGTATCCTTGGTGAATCCGATGAGTCAGGTCCAGGTAGTTCTTTTGGAATCGTTGGCACTCGCCTGCCAAGCGGTGATTTTCTTTTTTCATCGCCTCGAGATCACCGGCTGCCTTGAGTTTTTCTTGGCGTTCCTTCTTAAAATCGTCCTCGTAACTCTTGAGGGCCATCTGCGCTAGTTGGAGTTCATCTTGCACTTCTTTCAACTTTGCCTGGAAGTCATCGCGCTGTCTCGTAGTTTGCAAAATGTCCCTCTGAAGTTTGGCCACTTTTTCACGTTCGCACTCGACTACCTTTTTCAGCGCCTCGGGATCACCTCCTGCCTCGCGTTCCTTCTTAACGAAACTCGTGAGGACCAAATGCGTTTGTTGGAGTTCATCTTGCACCTCTTTCAACTGTGCTTGAAAATCATCGCGCTGTCTAGTAGTTTGAAAAATATCCCCTGAAGCGACGAGAGTTTTTACGCAGGCTTTCCACCAGCTTTGCATTTTCTTCCGATTCAGTCTTTGCCTTTTCCAGTTCGCCTCGGAGGAGATCTTGCTCCTCTTCCATGTCTGTCAACTTGTTCCTCAGCATTTCCGTTTCGCCTTCGAGAACCGACTGCTTGTTCTCCAATTCTTTCCCCAAACGATTCGTTTCTCTTTTTGCGTCTTCTAGTTTCGTCGTCCCCTCGGCCACTTCTCCATCTTCGACTGTCTCTCGAGCATCTTCATGGCGAGCGTCACTTTCGTCCTGGCCGGCGTCGCTGGCGTCGTCCCATACACCATTCAAAATGTCTCTGACGTCTGGATGTGCCTCTGCCACGCTGCCAATCGCCTCTTTCAACCGGCCGACGTTCACCACTTTTTCGCCCTTGTCAGAGAGTAGCTTTTCTTTCATAGACTCATTCTCTGTTACGATAAGTTCGCAAAATACTTGTTTTGCTTCCAGTTGCCTTTGAAGTCTCGTCACCTCCCGAGTCAGACGAGTGTTTTGCTCCTTCAGGGCGTCCGTGTCTCTGTCTTGGATGGCCGTCAACAGACGCTTGAGTTCCTTCACTTCCCTTTCTCTGCCATTTCTTTCGCCTCTCAACTTCATGATGATCTCGTGGAGCTCGCCATTTTCCGTGGCCAAATCCACTCCATTTCCGTATTCGTTTGAAAAGCGTTCCAAGTTTAATCTAAGTTTGGTATTTTCTCGGGTAAGCGCCTCGAGGATCTTTTTCGATACTCCGGGCGTAACGATGGCTCCTTGAGACGATACTCCTTTCTTCTCTAGTATGAGACTCAACTGCGTAATTCTATTCTCGGCTCTTGACAGGGTTTCTTGCGTTCTTTCTAGTTTTTCCGTGACAGAGGTGAGCTCTTCCCTTTTTCTTGTAGCTGTCGAGCCAGATTTTGGATCCCGACGAGTCGAGTGGACCATTGACTTTTCTCTCTGACCAGCTCCGCCAGCGTACAACGCATGCGGGTCATCTCCGTCGCCAAGGTCGTCAGCTTGCTCGTCTCTGCTTCGTTGTCCATTCTCTTCGGATCTGCTCCGTCTTCCATGCTTCTTCTCACTACACTAAGAGATCTCGAATCGTTTGCGCGTTTTATGGTGTTGCGATGAATAGACGGGACTTTCCCGTTGATGACGTCACATCCACGTTGTTCTATAGTTCGTTTTTAGCCCATCCACGTCATAAGATGAAGTTTTCTCTCTTTTCCCTGGGACTTTTCGAGGGGAAATATACCGCGTCAAAAAAAGAAAGTAAGATAGTAGTTCCTCTTTTTTTTTTGGGTGGAGGGTAGATTATTTTTCGTTTCGTCATTTGACGGACGGGACTTTTTCGTGAGAAATATACCGTGTCACTAGAATTTTCCCCTTCTTTTTTTTTCCTTTTGGGTGGAGGGGATTATTTTTCCTTTTCGTCATTTGAAAAAATAAGATATAAATTATAAAATAAAAAATTCGCATGTCGAATGCTTTTGAGACTTTTCGGTGGACGTGAACTCGAATAAATGGTCTCCCGCAGAGTAGGTGGGTGACGCCGATGTAATATGACACGATTACACCCACATTAGTCATGCGCGGTTGGAGGAGTCTGGAATATATACAACCATGGCAACCAAAAATATGGCTAAAAATAAAATCATATGACCCCCATGACCTCCCAAAATAACCCATTTAGGCTCCGCCCCCAGAGTGTCACGCGTGACGTAGGTGCAATTGACAAAAGGGAGGGGTACGTTGGGAAGCAATTTGTCGCGTGACCTCTTCAATTGTCATCTTTTACCATGGGAGGGGGAAGTAAAGTGACAAAACTTCATAGACCAATCAAATCGCTGCATTTGATCACGTGACACTAAGACCCCGCCCACATTAACTCTCTAACTCTCCGCTCTCGACCAATAGGATTGAGGGATAGAGAGGTTAAACATCAAGCTAAAGGAAGTTTTTTTAAGTTGTTAAGAGCTGTTGATCAGTGAATGTAAATAGCACTCTAGAAGTTATTAAATTATTATTATTATTATTATTATTATTATTATTATTATTATAGGACGCCAAGTGTTATTTTTGTTGAATAATAAAGGACTAATAAAAGAATAAATATCAAACCAGAAATTGCTTTCTTCAAACTGTAAATTATAAATGATCCTGAGAGAATATTCACTGTGTTAAGGATTTCCCTTCTGTACTGTTAGCTTTATACAAGAGAGGAGGGGCGATTCTTTTTTAATTTCCGTTTCGCTGACACAGCTTTAGCAGAAATTTCTCTTTAGTCGTTTTCGTCGACAAAACGAATAGCAATATTGCTCTCCGCGTCTTCCATCATTTTTTTTCCGCCCCAATTCGTGAAGGACGCGTGGCTCTGAGCGTGGGTCATCCACGCGCAACACATTCGCGCTATGTGATTGGCTGTTGTCTAATCCCCCTTGGGATCTGTGGAGTTAAAAATAACTCGAGACGAATTACCTATCGAATAGGGTGTATGGAGGATGCCTTCCCTGTCCCCTTTATCCTCTCTTGTTATACATTGGTACTCTTTAGTTTTTCGTAGGTGCACCGCGTTTTGGCTATTCAAACCTTTTGTTAGTTCACCTCTGGCTAAAACATTGAGGAATCGTGTTTTATTTTTTTTCGGTTAGGATATGGTAGAAAAGATTGCTCTCCAAGGGCGATATTGGTATCAAGCTAAGATAAAAGTAACAGTTTGTTTTTTTTTTTGTTTTTTTTTTTTAAAGAAAACCATAGCAAACACAGAAAAATGATAAAGCCGTGAAATTTATGGTATATAAAAACCTACAAAGCAATAAAAGCCTTGCTAAATAAAAGGAAACTGTTCCCTCTATGAAGTTCGTACTGCGACTGTCCGGCATAACTTAACTTCCTTTCTCTTTATGTATAGGTATCCAAGACCGGGTATACCCATACGGCACTGCGGGGGTGATTAACGTTCTCAAATGATTGTAACACCCCCTCCTCCCTCCCCCCCCCTCCTATTTTCTAAGGAAAGAAACCCTGGGAACCCGGAAGGTCTTGTCTTAGTAAACGCACTCGAACCGGAAAGTATGTAAATAGCTGCTTTGGATAGATGGATATTGAGAGACCGGACGGGCATACTGAGTTCAATTTTCGTTGTTAGGACATGCAACACACATAATAGATAAAATTTGTACATATTGTTAAGAAAGACATTGTCCATCACACATTAAAACAGACTACACTGACATGAAAGAAATATAACAAAGGTGCTATTAAAGTAATGAGAAGGTTTGACAAGAATCTCAATGTTACGAGAACAAACATTCCGTTTTTTTCCCACTGTTTGAGAGATAATCTAGCCAGCGTGACAGGCGTTCCAAAGGGAAGGGAAAGAGGATTTTGGGCGCGTGAGAAGCACGAAGGGCGCGCGAGGAAGGAGGAAGGGGAACGCGTTCCTATCCTTCCTTCTCCCTCGCGCGGGGTCTCGCCCATAAAATTCCCTTCCCTTCCCTTTAGAACAACGCTTGCCACGCAGGCTAGAGATAATCAACTTACCCTCTTATCATATTTTTATCTTTCCGGCTAATTGTTAAAAATTTTACAGGGAGAGATTTTAATCGTCAAAATTCTTATCCGATTTTAATTAAGGTTTCTAGTGAGGTTTGCCTCAAAGTGTTTAGCTACAAAAGAAATTGTGTTTAAGACGCGTTTAATTAAAGATTTTCTAACATAATTTGGCGGCGAAGATTACCTCTTTAGCATTTTTTTTTTTTTTTCAGATGAAAAATTATATCACGACGTTTGCATTGACTGCATAATCAATTTCATGAACGGCAATCTGGTGGTATTCATGGTAACCCAAGAGAGAATGGGTTCCCCTGAGGCTGAAGTGATATATTTTGCATCCACAACAAATCATCATTGAAAAGCATTGCCAAACAATCGCTCTTCATCACAGCAACGTTTTTTCACGTCACGCAACGGGAAAGAGCGTTGCGTGACAAGACCAAATGGCTGCATCAGGGACCAATGAATAGGAGGCTAACAATGCCTACATAATTATACAAAATTTTAATACTGTTATAAGAGTTTACAGGAGCCTAGGCTCCTCGAGTTTACTATTAATAATCTAATACGACGAAGGTAGCCACAAAGGGATAAAAGGAAAATAACCAAAAACAATACTTTCGCACCTTGCGCTTTACAGTCTATATTTGTAGAATGTTATTCTAAGGAAATCAAAACAACCCTAAAGTGAAAGACTCCTCTTATTAGGACTGGGGCCTAGATACTTCTTCAATCATTATCCGGGATACTGAATTATACCCAGTGTAAGCATCACCCAAGGTGTTGCCACTACACTTCCCTACCCATAATTCCACTCTGACCGCCCCTTGTGGAATGTTTTCACAGTACCCCTCAAATGACCGATGATGCATCAGATTAGGGTTCCCAGATGGCCAGTTGTTATAAAAAACAGCCTCAATCGTCATTGGTCCACTGCATTCATTTCCATTAAACTTGAAATACCATCGGTTACACTTGTAACTAACTCCCTGGACCCTCATGTTGCCCTGGAATGAGACTCTGAGCGCTAAATTAGACTGCAGTTTGTTAAACGCACATTCCTGGAATAAAAGCAAACAAATCAGACGTATTGTAGTAAGGTGAGCAACCGTGTGTAGTGATTGATTCTAACAACTCTAGTCAAGATTACTTCCTATTTTTCAAAAAACTCTATAATAGCTTAAATTTTTGTTGTTCTTCTCCATATGGCCAGGAATCGTTTTATCAAGCACGATTGTTTTCTTTTTTCGTTCAAAAAAGAACCAAAATAGAGAGAAATTTAACTTAGTTATTTATGTAATGTGTTGGAAAACGGTGAGTGAGAGGGGAGACGTTCTTCTTTGAAACATTTTAATTTAAAAAGGAATGAATTTTCTTAGGAGTGTGTCATGATTCTTATTCTATTTACCTTAAACTTTCCGTTATCAGTATCGCTGTCTGTTTTCCACACACATTGTTTCCAGTTGGTTTGTTGTACTACACTTGCTTGATTTGCTTTGGCGCTTTCTCCTTTCTCTCCTTTGTCTCCTTTTCTTCCTTTCATTCCCGCAATGCCTCGCTGCCTTTCATTCCCACAGCTCCGCGCACTCCTTTCATTCCCACAATTTCTCGCCCTCCTTTTACTCCCACAGCTCCTTGCTCTCCTTTCATTCCCGCAATGCCTTGCTCTCCTTTCATTCCCTTAATTCCTCGGGTCCTTTGCGCCCTCTGTCTCCTCTTGGACCCAGCATTCCTTGCGATCCTTTATCACCAGTTTGTCCTTTTACACCTTCCCTTTCCTGGGGTCCGTGTGGCCCCGGGACGCCCGGCACTCCCGGTATACCATTTGATCCTGGAATACCAGGGAAACCAAGTATAGATCCCTGAAAGGAAATATGATTTGTAATTTAAAGCGGACACGAAGACGAAACGGGACCCTAAATACCCGGGGGAGTACTCCTAGGTATTTTTTGTGGAGGTGCGCCTTTCGGTTCTCCAAATCCTGACCCTATTTCAGGCCAAAAAATGTCATTTTTACGCCCGCTTACAGACCTGGCCTCTATACCCGATTTTAGACCTTGCCTCAAAAATATTATGTCACTATTACTTACATTAATGTAGAACAAAAACAGAAAGAAATTCTTAAAATCCATTTCGAATTCGCATTTTTCTCTTTCCTTTCCATTTGGATTTGAAACGATATAATACGTTTATACACTCCCGTACTTCCTTCGAAAACCATACACGATATGCAGTACCGTAGCTAGCATGAGGCAAGACGAGGCAGTTGCCTCGTCTTTATTTTGGCCTTTTTTTTTGGAAGAAAAATGCCACGCAAAATGCTTACAAGAGCATTTCTGAGCCTCTAGATTTTCTAAATTTTCTGGGGGCGTGCTCCCAGACCCACCTAACGGCTCGCGCCTTTGGCGCTCGAAACTTGCCTCGTCTTGTTCTGAAGTCTCCCACAATAGGCGAAGTCCATAACCGTTTTCAGACAAAACGGCGCAAAAAACCCTACCCTTTGGGACTGCACATACCTTTATGGCTTATATAAGGGAGTACCCTCCGAGCTTAAATACCGTAAACCCAATTAATGTAGCAATTGAAAGGTCGCCAAGAAAGGACAGAACTATTTCCGTCTCCCTTTATCCAGAGGCACATAATGGACCTTGGATATCATAATCTTTTTTAAAGCTGGATAGAATCAGAGAAAACTAACAGTTAATGTTAAGATCATGTTGAGGCGATGACTTTTAAATCAACTGCCTTACACTTTGTGAGGTACTTTTAATAAGTAAGTGATCATAACGATAGGGCCATTTATACGACGAAAAATAAGACGCGTCTTAAATAAGACGCGAACTTTCCTTATAAACGGCACATAAGACGCGGCTTAGCTAAGACGCGTCTTATTAGCTAAGACATGCTGGTATAAATAGTACAGTTCGCGTCTTATTTAAGACGCGTCTTATTTTTCCTCGTATAAATGGCCCTAATGTGAGCAATAAAATGGTTTCTTCGTGTACGTAATCTACAGCGTAGTACTACTTCTTATATCTATCCATGTCTTACCTCGCATAAATCTTTTGACTTTGTGTTGTTTGGTTGCTGAGGTGAGGTGGTTGTTCCCAGTGAACAGCCAGATAAAGAGAGAATTCTAACTGAAACAGCCAAATAATTAACCATGATGAGAGCTAAACCAAAACACTGCTATTACTGATATCGGTGCTACGTGGTCATAAGTTAAATAGTGAATATTTGAAAGTCAATCTTCTGTTCCTGCTCATTGTTTGTTTGTTTTTGCTTGTTTTATTTTCCTTTTATGTCAATCTCTGGTCACATGCCCACGTGCAGGGAATACTGAAACAGGGTCAAAAAGACGACATTTTCAAAAATAAATGACAATGAATTGTTAAAAAGGTAACAATTTTTTTCACAGCTTCCTTGGTTTAGCTTTGTGTTCCTAGAGCCTCCAAACGGCCCCTGTTTCCTTTCCGGCCTCTCTAGCGTGCCAAAAACTTTTAGACGATGAAAAAACTTTGCCTTCAGTCTAAGTTAGTCATGCAAAGAAATAAAAATATTACAGATTACATTCAGTTCTGGCTAAACTGAAGCCCTTGACTTCTAAAGTATCTATTTTTAAATTCCCTTATAGCTTATATCCACGTACCGTTGTTCATGGAACTGAAGTTTGGTTATCTTTAATTGATTGGTCTGATTTTAAAATGACCCTCTAAGAAAAAAAAAAAAATGAGCGGTTTGTACGTGTAAGTGTTGTATTTTACGACAGCATCTCCTTCTTCTACTGCTGTCGCCGATATTATAGAGATGTGGCTGTTTTTCCAAAAACAAAATGACAAAGCCCTAAGAAATAGAACTTTCTGTGTGTGTGTCTGTTTTGTTGCTGATGGTGTTATTTTCTTAATACGCTACGTTATTTACAGTTTCTATATTTCACCACACCCAATTCAGGGAACTGAGCAGTTACGCCGTAACCACATTGGATAAAGATGGTGAAAATTGGATGACTTTCACGTTCACCATGTTCACGTTCACGTTTGGTCACGTTCTACGTCCAATTTTTATGCTCTGATTGGTCAAAATTTGACAGGTGAGTTCATGCGGAAAATTTAGGCAGCATCTTGAATCTTGTTTACTTTGACAGCTGAAGCTGACAGAGTTTTGTGCCGACTTGTGATGTTTTTAACTGTCCTTTTCCATTGGATGTACAAAATGAAATTCAGCTGCTATCGGAAGTCTTCTGTTATCCATGGCTAGTTTGTTTATTGGGTTTTTGGTTGAGAAATACTTCACTTGTCAAAGTTGGAAATCCGATTTCGGATGGCATCGTTTTCGTTTTCACCTTGCTTAATGCGTAAGAGGGTTTCAAAGTCTGAAGCGATGCTGGCCTAACTTGATACCTTTGAGGAGCCTCATCTCGAGTGGTAAGCCTGAGTAATTATTGTATTTGATGTTTGTTTTTTATTTCTAATTTAATGAAGTCGAGCGTAGTTTATGCGGCTATTTTGTTTACGCACGTTTGTAAGATTTGAGACAATGATCTGACCGAGTATCAGGTTTATTTAAGCTTACAGATCTTTAAAAAGCCTTTAGACATTTTCTCACCGCAAATAGAAAGAACACGTTCCAAAGAATTTTCAGTTATAATTCTGGCTGTAAAAGAAGCTTTGAGCGATTTTCTTGCCTCGAGTTCGTCTTTGAAAAAAGCAAACACCGGGAAGCCGGCTTAAAACAAAAACTTCAGCTTTAAGCTCGAAGACTCAGGATTTTTAGAGACACTTTAATACTGGTCTTCCTGAATGAAAATTGTCGTCTCTGTATATGTTTCACCGAATTTTATTTCTTTTATTGATTATTAGTAGTCTCTCTCGTAATTTTAATCGCTGTGCCGATTGTTTTCAGTCGTTCAGTGAACAATGCCGCGCGTTAAACCATTTTAAAATAAAAAATAAACATAATAAATTCTTTATTATATTGGAGCTTAACTGTGTTAATGTTCATTCAAACACTCGCCACAGCTAGCTCTGCAAAAGTCAGAGCCGGCTGGCCCTATAGGTGATTTTGGAACTTTTTTTAACGGTTTAGCTAAAGCCCACGCGTGCTTTGATCGTCCTGAATATTGAATGATAGCAATTTGTTTTGCAAAATTGTCAAATACTGCATTCTGTTGTCCGAGGTCTGTATGATAAAAACAGTGCCTCATAGTACTGTTTCACCTCAGATGTGATGTATAAATGATATATAAGGTTGATTTACACGAAACCAGATTTGTTGGCAATATTTTGTAAAGTAAACTTGTCGAACGCAAAAAATTCGGCCGGAACGTTTTTGCAGGCCTAATTAACCTACGGTGATCAAGAGCCATGGCTCTTAAAAAATGTGATCGAAGACGATTGCCAGTTTTTGGGTGTACATATGAGGCCATCAACTCGATGTAAGATTTGGTTCACTCTGGGGTTGTTTGCAAACTATTTTTGTCTAAAATCACTTAGCCTTTCCCTGAAAAGTCACATGAATGTGCTCTAAAGTTAACTGAATTGTGGAATATAGGTTTATTAATTTATTAATGGGAGCCTCGCTTTTAGCCCTGGCTAAATCTATATATTATCCTCTATATATCAAGATACTTCAGGGTACTTATTAAGGCGGCTCCCTAGAGTAGATTGTCCATGCGAAGCCTGAGCACTATTATGGTTTGAGTTTAAAATCCAAGGCGACGTCCACGCAAAAATAAAACAAAAATGGCCTCTCAGTTTCGAAATATTCCCCGAAAAAACTTTATTAACTTTCTGTTGAAGCTTACTGTGCAAAAAGTTTGATTAGTGTAGGTCCAGCATTTATGAGAGGAGACAACGTTACACCGGTTACAAGTCACTTATCTAAAACTATCGATCTCCATAAGACTTAATTGTAATATATAGATTTAGCCAGGGCTAAAAGCGAAGCTCCCATTAATAAATTTCTAATTTAAATCAAACAATAAACCTGTGATCCACAAATCAGTTAACTTGAGGGCACATTCATGTGACTTTTGAGGGAAAGGCTAAGTTATTTTAGAGTGAAACATCTTACATTGAGTTGATAGCCTTATATGTACACCCAAAAAATAGCAAACATCTTCGATCACATTCAAGAGCCATAATGGCTCTTGATCACAGCTGTAGATAAGGCCTCGAAAACAAATTCTAGGAAAACAAATCAGGCTGAATTTTTTTGCGTTCGACAGGTTTACTTTACAAATTCTTGCCAACAAATCTTATACTTTTTATACATCACATCTGAGGTGAAACAGAATACGGTATTTCACGATTTTTCAACACAAATTGCACTCAGTCAATGTTCAGGACGATCAATCGTGGGCTTTTAGCGAAACCGTTCAAAAAAATTTCCAAAATCACTCATTAGGCCGGCCGGTTCTCGTTTCTATAGTGCGAGCTGTCAGTGTAATCGAGTGTTTGAATGAACTTTAAAAGAGTTACGTTTCAACTTAACATAATAACGAATTTATTATTATAATTTTTTGTTATTTAATGGTTTCAGTTACAACGATGTGTAATCTTATAAAGCGTTTGATACGCGCGACATTTTTTTAAAGTACTCCTGCAAGCGATGTTCATGAACGATGAAAACAAACGCCACGAGCGAGCGATTAAAATTGCAAGAGAGTACTAACAATC